GGACACAAGCGTTCGTGCAGAATCTGCCCAAAGCTTCGCCCGAGCTGCAGCCCATCCAATCGGACTCTCAGTTGCCGGAGCCAGATGCTACCAGCACGACCAGCACCGACCACGACTCGACGAACTCGAATGGCTCCAAAAAGGGCAATTCGCTCAAGAAGGCGTTCCGGCGCATGACCCGCACGGAGGGCTCGCCGTCGTCCACACCCCGCTCCCTCTCGCCCAACGATACGTTCAAGAACTACAAGCCAATAGGCCCTCCGCAGACCCCACCCCCCGGACAGACGTTGCGACGCGTGTTGTACGTTGCCAACGCGGGCGATGCTCGTGGCGTGCTGTGCCGCGGCGGACGGGCGATCAGATTAACGTACGATCATAAGGGCACGGACAAGCAGGAGGCGAAGCGCATCATGGATTCCGGCGGATTCGTGATGAGCGGCCGCGTGAATGGCGTCCTGGCGGTGACCCGCAGCCTGGGCGACTCGTCGATGAAGGAGTTCGTGGTCGGCGCGCCGTACACGACAGAGACTGAGCTGATTGATGAGGACGAGTTTCTGATTCTCGCATGTGACGGGGTGAGTGGGTTTTGTGTTTTCATGTATCTTGCATTTATTAACGAGGGTGATATTACTCAGATCTGGGACGTCTTGGATGACCAGCAGGCCTGCGACATTGCTCGACGGATCCAGGATCCGCAGGAGGCCTGCGGCACGCTGGTGAAAGAGGCGTTCCAGCGGTACACGAATGACAACATCACGATCATGGTCATCCGATTCCGAGACTCGCCCGCGGACGTGAAGGCTAAAGGCAGCAAGAACTGAACATAATCTCCGTTCATCTCTCTCGTCATTGAAGCTACGTCTCCGTTCATCCTACTGTCACTCTGTCTGCAATATTGTATTTGCTTCGTTCTGGTATCGACAGCACTCAGGGTCGGGATCGGCTTGCGCGCGGTGTCACGTCCAGTATCCAGTATCATATTCTAGCGTAATTCGTATACCTCTGCATTTGCTTGTTCATTTGTAGCGAAACATGGCCACGGACAATCTCAATATTTCTTTCTTGTTCTCTCTTCACTTCCGGTGCTCACTGCCTCGTTCAGACCCTGCAGGACCGCGCCGTTGCCGATGCAGACGCGATGGGCGCGCGCCGCGTGACGTCATCGCCACAGTTAGGCCCAGCTTGGCAGGCTAAGCGCCGGCGCACTAGATCCCGCCCGCCGCGTGTGTGCGCACCCTTTGCACTCTGCTCACGACCATCATGTCCCAGTCCCAGTGGGGAACACAGGCCCAGTACAACCAGTATCAGCCCCAGTATCAGCCTGGACCGACGCCGGCGTATGCACCTGCGCAGCCGCAGCCGCAGCCGCCGTACGAAACTCAGGGTTATGGCGAAAACAAGGCGTCGTACCAGGGGGACCGCTTCAGGCCAAAGAAGAGGTTCAATGACCCGCTCGTGGCGATTCTCTTCATTCTGCAGGTGCGTGCTTAATCATCTTTCGTGGGGTAGCTGATCTTGAATGCCGCCGCGACACAGTTCGCGGGCTTTGTGGTGGTGTCAGCCATGGCCATCCAGACCTACGCGTCGAATGGCGGAAACGGGGGCGGCGTTGGCAATGGCTCGAGCACCGGGAGCTCCGTCACGCTGAACAGGTTCTTCTTCTATCAAATTCTAGCTTCTCGGGCCGCGCTGCTGACTTCCATGCCTTGTGTAGGCATACGGTATACCTGTTGCTGTTCGTGGCGGCCGCTGGCCTCGTGCTGTCGACCGTCTACTTCATCATTGCGCGGACATTCACGACATTTATCATGCATCTTACGCTCATCCTGACGATCCTGCTCAATATGTGCGTGCGCGGGCGGGTTTTGTGTTCCTCCGCATCCTAACCGCTCACCGCCCATCACCCGTAGTGGTATATGCGTCTATTATTGGATCACGAAGTACTACTGTGAGCTTCCGCTGTGTCTTCCATTCTTGAGAACTGCTCTGACGGACGTTTGGGCATGCAGCCGGCGCGATTATTTTCACCGTCATCGCGTTGGTGTCGATATTTGCTTATTTTGGCTACCGCTCTCGTATACCCCTGGCCGCCCTGCTTCTGCAAGTCACGATGGACGTGTCGAAGCACCACAAGTCTGTATATGTGGTGTCCTTCTTTGCTTTGCTTCTGCAGGCCGCTTTGAGCGTGTGAGTGTATTCATCGTGTCTACGCGGCGAAAAGCTGATAACAGTCTTTTGCCCTAGGTGGTTTAGCTTTACTGTTATTGCCACGTACGTCAATACACGTGCAGCCCTCGTTGAATACTCATGGCCATGCAGATATGGAAAATGGACGCCAGGCAATCCAGGCAAGTGATTTTGACTTTGCATGCTTCGTTTGTTAACGTTAGCGTTAACGCTTGTGGCGGACAGCATGCAGCCAAGGAACGTCCTGCTCATCAAGCACGGTCGCCGGCCTCATTTTCTTCGAAACCTTCTCGTACATCTGGACATCCATGACCATCGGCAACATCACTCTGGCTTCGCTCGCCGGTGGTCCATACGGCAGTGAGTATCCCAATCACAATTCACATCTGCGCCAAAGCGCAACTCACCCCTTCTTTCCAAGGTTGGTACTACTACGGCCCGCAGGAGCAAGGCCTGATGCCCCGCCATCCCACTCTATCGGCCCTCCTGCGAGCATCCACGCTCTCGCTCGGGTCCATCGCGTTCGGCTCGCTGATCGTGACGATTCTGGAACTATTACGTCTGCTCCTCGAAGCCGTCAGAAACAACGCCGACGCGGACGGACACCGTAAGCCCATCCCACATTCTCAGCTCTCAATAAGCATCCGGAGCACCGCCTCATTGCCTCGCGCGTGTTTTTTTTTTTTTTTTTTTGCAGCTGTGGAAGCCTGCCTCGCGTGCTGCGCAGAGTGCTTCATCGGCTGCGTCGAGGGCATGGTGCAGTACTTCAACAGGTGCGTCATCCTCAGTCAGCGTCCACGCGCATACGCATACGCATATGGAGTCCTCGTCGGACTTCCGCGCTCCCCCCGTGATGTGGTTGCCAACTCTAATCCGCTTCCGTCACCGCAGATACGCGTACATCGAGATCGGTGCGTGTCCATTCTGCATGGGCTTCTTGCGCCGACTGTGGCGCTCGCTCGCGGTCGACCAGGCACGCGCTGACGACGGGGATGATTGTCAATTATATGTATCGCGCCTAGCGCTCTATGGCAAACCGTACCTCAGAGCGGCGAAGGACACCTGGCGGCTGTTCAAAGACCGCGGTGGGTGCTCATTTATCTCACAATAAACTCAACGCCGACGCTGACGGACGCGAACAACGAATGGGCGATTGTGCGCATCGCAGGCATCGACGCGCTCGTGAACGACTCGCTCGTCAGCATGAGTAAGTCCACATTCATCAATACCCCCGCCCTGCAATACCCCCGCCCTGCCCCCCTTGCCTGCTCTTTCTTGAAGACCCTTGGGGCTACTAGCATATGCATGCCAGGCCACTAGTACTGACAGCGACGCGCTCGCGCCACTTTGACGTTGACAGCACTTACGTGGGGCGCCTACGCCGTGGGCCTGATGTGCTCGCTGTTTGGGTACCTCTATTTGCGCTGTGAGCACCGTGTGTCTCCATTTGTGCTACCTGGGCTGATTGTGGCTGGCTCGGACTTGAACTTGAACTTGAAATTAAACTCGGACTCGGTTGCGATGGGTGCTCGCGGCACACGGCACGCGGCACGACAGACACGCACCCGGCGTACAACGCGGAGGGGCAGTACACCGCGCCCGTCGTGCTCTTCGCGTTCGTCATCGGCATGCAGCTGCGTGAGTCCGATTTAGTTATGATTGCGAGTTCGCGGGTTCGGTTTCATTTTGCTGACTGGAATTGGGGACGGCCGGCAGTGCTGACCCTCGCGGCGGCGATCGAGGCGGGCGTGTCGACGATGTACGTCCCCGCTCGCTCGCTCGCTCGCTCTCACGATGTCGCGGATCAGGCGATTGGCACTGACGCATTCATTTGTTCATCCATCTATCCATCTATTCATTTGTTCGGTCGTTCGGTCGTTCGGTCGTTCCCTGGTTGAACGTGAATTATGGAACGTCGAACTTTGACCGCAACTTCGCATGCAAACCTTGTCGACCTGACTGCAAACCTTGTCGCCCCACCCGCCGCCGGTCCCCTCGAACCTTGTGTCCTTCCCCGCGTCCGTGCCCTGGCCACAGCTTCGTCGGGCTGGGAGAAGACCCCGGGATGCTGGCGGTGCGCTCGCCCGAGCTATTCGGCGTACGTCCGATTCGCTGCTCCCTTTTTATTTCCCGTTCCCTTTTCCTTTCCGTCCCCTTTTGCCGCTGCACGGTTTTTGATTGTGCTGACCGTACGCGTGTATGCAGATGATCGCGGACAGGTATCCGCAGGTCGTGCAGGGCGTGCCGCGTGTGTGAGGGGATGCGAGAGGGGCAGGCTTAGGTGTGGTGGTGTAGTTGAGATGAGAGGTCGTGGGCTGGGATTTGGATTCGGATTTGGTGGCAGGTGCGATTCGAAATACATACACGCATTTTTCAGAGGAGTGAATGAGTGTGAGGTGTGAAGCCGCTCGGGAGCATGTTCGGTCGGCGTGCGTCTTTGATCAAGGCACCGCTGTAGAGTCGGTGAGACTGTACTTACTCGTGAGCAAGTACTGTCAATCTGGCACCGTTGACAACGTTGAATGTTGACGGTTGCCCGACGTATGCGGTGCCGTTCGAGCCATGCATCGAAGTCGACGTTAGTACTAGTGTAGCACACGATTCTTGTTCGTTAGAGCTGCTCCGTTCGAATACAGGCAGGGTTAGCTGGTATTGCCCAAGCCGAGATTAATTAATATTGAGGTGGGTGAAATAACCGTCTGATGCAGCGTCTCATCCGACGCTCCTCCTCTCTGGGGAATACTTCGCTTTGTTCTCCCTATCTCTATAAAGAATAAAAATGCTGTCAAAAAAACACCAGATTGAGAAATACATGTCCGCGCCAGGAGTCGAGCCTGGGTTTCCACGGGATTGCGAGCCGAGGCGGCAGCCACAACGTGATGATCTAACCACTAATCTACGCGGACGTATCTGTGTTCGCGCGCTTTGTGCCACTGGGCTGCTGCGCGGCGAGGCGAGACCCAGGCTACGTCAGTCTTCAGAGCAACGCAGCTTCTGGCGCGCGGCAGTTGTCTTGATGAGACCAGCCGCGCCCGCTCTCGTTCGTCGTCCATCGTTCCTCCTGCCCTCAACGCCATGCGCAAGACCTCCTACGCCATCACCTTCCTGCTCGTCGCAGTCGCCCTCTTTCTGGTTTGTCTTTGTTTTCTTCCTCAATCCAACTCACCGCTCATGCTCACCCTATCCAGAATGTCTTCGCCATCCAGCGCCCTGACTGGTGCGCCCGCCTCTCCCGCACTAGCACTGACACCCCGCCCTAACCTGACACCCCCCACCCCGCCGCGCACACAGGCTGATCGTCAAAGGCTCAGACATCATCCACACGCGCATCACCGTGCGCTACGGGCTCACCGAGCGCTGCGAGCGCACGATCATCGAGATCCCGGGGCCGAGCGCGGGCGGCAAGATCGCGTACACGGACTACCAGTGCCGCGCGTTCCCGTCGAGCGTCACCGACCGCTGCGAGAAGGGCAACCGCGGGTTCTGCACCGCCTGGAGCAGCGCGGGCTACCTCGCCGAGATGAGCATCATCTTCGGCGCCGTCGCGCTGCTGTCGCTCATCTTTGGCGTGAGCACGCACTCGAGGCGGCGCCGCATCTGGAAGGCGGTCGCGGTGCTGGTCACGGCTCATGGTGCGTTTGGCGTGCAGTGTTGGGATGGCGTACGCAGCTGACATGATATGGGGTGTTGGGGTCGTAGCTGCGTTCATCATGGCGGCGTGGGCTATCATCACCGACCTCTGGCGGACCTCCTCGTTCTGGGAGCTCCAACACGCGCAGCCCAGTACGTCCCATACACACTCTGACGTCGACTGGCAAGGGTACTTATGCGTATCCTCCGCAGGCTTCTCGTACTACGTCAGCCTCGTGTCGTGGATCTTCAGCTACGCCATCGTCGGCGGCGTCATCTACACGGGCGTCGCCGCCGACAAGGGCCACAGGTGGGCCGCGGGCAACCGCGCCTACCGCATCATCGAGGACAGGGAGTAAATGCGGGCGCTGTGTACGAGTACGAGTATGAGTACATTCTTGCTTCTTGATTCCGGTTCCGCGTGCGTTCCGTCTGTCACCACCACTCCCCCACGCCCACGCCCACGCTGCGCGCCCATCCACGCTGCCACGGACGCTGCCCTTTCTGTGTCTCCTTGCTTCTGCTTCTGTTTGCGATTGCGTTTCCCCGAACCGATGTACTTTATATACCACGCGTTATATCACGCTAGATCGTCCTTGCTCGCTCCAAGCGACCCCTACCCGTCCGACGGATAATCGCACTGCTCATGCAGCCGCAGCGTCTCGTTCCAATCGCGCTTGCGCCTCCTCCGCACCGAAAAATACTTCGCCTTGCTCTCCCACCGGCCCCTCACGCGGCCCTTCTCCTTCTCGCGGCGCTCGCGCACAAAGTGCGCCTCGGGGTCCGCCGGGAGCCCGAGGCCGCCCACCGCGAGGCGCATGACGCGCGCATGGAGGCTCGCGCGCGCGGCGCGGAGGCGCACGAGCGTCGCGCGCGGGACGCGGAGCAGGCGCGCGAGGGCCGCGAGCGCGCGGCCCGCGCTCACGGCGTCCTCGAACCAGCGCAGCGACATCCACATGAGCGCGGGCACGCCCGGCGCGGTGAGCGCCGCGAGCGGGAGCGTGAGCAGCGTCGTGGCCGCCCACACGGCCAGCCCGGAGAGCAGCCCGTACACGAGCTTGTACTGCGCGATCTCGTCCCAGGTGTCCCAGATCGGGCCTGTCTTTTTGAAGTTGTGCACCGCGTAGAAGGTGGTTAGGGCGATGGGCGTCCAGAGGAGCAGGCCCGGGAGGGAGAGCGTGAGGAGGGTGAGCGCCCAGGCGAGCCGCAGCACGAGCCGGTAGAGGATCGTGGGGCGCGAGAGCGGGCGGCGGATGCGGTCGTCTTTGATTTTGAGGCGCACGAGCTCGGAGTGGTACGCCTGCCACGGAGTCAGTCGGGACGAGGACATGTGAGGAGGGTGGGTAGGTGTGCGGGCGTACCTTCAGATCGCGCTTGAGGCCCTCGATTTCGTCCGTCGCCTCGCCCGGGACGCCGGAGTCCGAGTCGCCGCTGGCAGACGCGGCCTCGGACGCCTTGAACGCCTCGAGGAACGCGCGCGCGACGCGGACGTGGTCGCCGAGCGCCATCGACGTCCCGAGGGGCGCGTAGATCGGCGCCGCGAGCCGCGCGATGCGCACGAGGTCCCACGAGGGCGCGTCGAATGTCCCCGACGCGATCTGCTCGTGCATCCGTGCGGTCACCGCGCGGATGTTGTCGTATGGGGCTGGGTGGAGCAGTTCCGGGTTGTTCTGGAAGCGTATATGTGAGTGCTTTAGTGTTTGGTTGGGTAGGGAGGCGAACCTTTGGGGTGAAGACCATGGGCGGGTTGAATGTGACGAGCACGTCGGAGCGGAAGTGCTGCCGGTGCCTGCGGCGATAGGGTTGGGTGAGCAAGGAATGAAGAAGCGGGTGTTGGCGAGAGGGACGTGCATGTAGGTGATGGAGCAGGTGAGCACGGATACTTCGAAATCAGGGTTATCGCGGTTCCGGGATAGGACGTCGGACACGATGCGTGCGACTGCGCAGGTTCTAGATTAGATTCGCGTTGGAGGAGTACTAGAATGGGGTGTGCGCACCTCCTGTCTTGAGCGGTGCAATCGTCGGGTGGTACCTGCTCGCGCCTTCCGGGAACAGACACACCGCATCGCCCTTCTCGAGTGCCTGCTCCACCAAGGCGTATATGCATATTCATATTTCTTTCTTTCAGTACAAGTAATCAACGCACCTCAATGAGCTTGCCCATGGCCTCGGTGTTGTCGGCACTCCCGTCCGCGTAGTCCTTGCGCCGCTTGATGGGCACGGTGCCCGCAGACTCGATGAGCCAGCTCGTGAACGTGCGTTTGCCGAATTGCGTCGCCTTGGCGGTGAGTCGCAGCATGCTGCGCCTCTGGGGAGGCGGTGAGCAGACGTGTCGAACGCGTACGGAACGACTTACTCTCGATGGTATTGACGATACCAGGAGACTGAATAATATCTGGGATGAGAACTGTTGCTGTTTTGTGAGGATAGGAGTGGCACGTACAGGGCATCCGTCAGGGAGTTGGTGTGGTTCGCGCATACGATACTGGTTGCGAAGTGTGAGCAGACGACACGTTGAATGAAATTTATGCGCACCAAGGTTCGCCATTCTTCGGGATGTTCTCGACGTTCTCGACGACGATGGTGCCGTAGAAGATCTTGAGTACGAACTTGAAGAGCAGTCTGGACTACAGATGAGGTCACAGCAGCCACAAGCGGGCGCTCTAAGCTCACCGGATGAGAAAATAAGACCAGGGGGTCGCTGAGCCCTGGGGCATGTCGTGTGAGGAGGAGAGTGAAAGAGTCAGGTGGGGGACATTATTGTTGCAGATCCAAGCCAAGTGTGGTCACGGCCATGATGAACGTGCTCCAGGATGGCACTGGGGTTGCTGACGCGCGGGGTCTTACGTGTGCGTAAATTACGTAACTCGAAATTTAGCAGGTGCAGTATTGCTCTCAGTGCTGCAGACCTGCAGTACTTGAAGCTAACACAGACACCCTCAACTAGTCCGCCCACATCTCGCCCGCCATGGCAGACGGACTCGACCAAGCATTGGCAAAAATACGGCCGCACACATCCTCCAATCTCGCACACCAAAAGGCCCCCGCAACCCTCCTCCACGCCCTCGAGGCCACCTTCCAGGAGCAGAACACCGAAAAGTCCCCCACTGCATACTTTGCAGCCCTACTGACCACACTCGATGGCACAATACAGAAAGAGAAGCCGTCAGGGCTCAAGTTTGGCGAGGGCGACATCCTCCCCGCCGAGCTCTACCTCCTCGCGCTCGTCGCGCCCTTCACACCACCACCCGTTATCCGCGCAAACATCACCACAGTGCTCTCGCTCACCGCGCCACTATTCCCGCTTGTGAAGGCGCACGCGCCTGCGCTGCGATCGCAGCTGTCGATCTACGACCCCGTCCTCCGCGCGCTCGACCGCTCGCAGCTCGAAATCCAGGGCGTGCGCCAGTCGTTCGCGTCTATTCTCCAATTATGCATCGATCCCCGGCCGAAGGTGCGCAAAAGGGCCGCGGAGGTCGTCAGAGACGTCCTTGCATCGCCGCCGAGCCCGCTGGTGCGGCATCCGTACGGGGAGCGGGTCGCAGAGTGGGCCCTGTCGGCGCTCACGGAAATCAGCGCGAATGCCATCCCAAAATCCAAGCACCGCAAATCCGACATGGAGGGTGCGGAGGTTGCTATCCATATGTTATCCTTCCTCCGCCCTGTCGCTCTCAAACTCCCCACTTCCGTAAGTGAACTGCAATTATCCTGCTTTCCATCTCACCCGCACCGCAGTCCCTCGTACCCCTCGTCCCTGTCATCGTGCAACTCCCGCGCCTCGGCAACCCCTTCCTCTCGCAAAGCGCATTCGCCCTCCTCTCCGACCTCCTCTCCCCACCAGCCCACGGCGACGCCGAGCTCGTCGACATCACCTCCGAGATCCCCCATATCCTCAGCGCCGTCCTCTCCTCCCCCCCACCAAAATCCGACGCGACGATCGCCCCCGCATGGATGGGCCTCCTCGCCAGCTCCATGCTCGCGCTCAAAGACGCAGACGCGGACGCCGCCGCGGCCAACTTCGCCAAAGTGTGGAAGGCCGTGTGGGCGTTCCTCGAGTCGAGCGACGCCGCCATCCGGCGCGCGTCCGCGCAATCGCTCGCCGTGCTCGCGCAGTGCCTCACCCCCGCGCTCATCGAGCCCGCGCTCAAGGAGCACGATGCCGGCACCGGCGAGCCCAAATCGACGCTCGGAAAGACGCTCGCGCAGGTCGACAAGGCGTTCGAGGCGTTCGCGTTCGCGCGCGCGATGCCCGAGCTGCTCAGCGTCATCGCCGCGC